CCATGTGAATCAAAAAGCCTTCCAAGTCTGTCTTGGGAATTTGAAGAGAAAAACAAAACAAAAGGTGAATAGTCCAAAAGCCGCTCAATTCCTGACAAGGTCACAGTGCTCTCCATTAAAGGCTTACCAGCAGAGCACAGCCTCAACCGTTACCAAAGACACCTCCAGCTCAGGTGACACTCGAGCCCCAAGCTCCTCAAATCCCCTTAAACTGGAGCAAACATGCTTTACAGATACGATGCATTCATGACATGATGCATTGATAAAATGAATGCTCGTCTCTTTATTTGCAATTTTAAACCTCTCGATCTAAGGACCATTATAGCTCAAGAGCATTTATTTCTGTCCGCTCTGTTGCTCCTGATTGTGGAGTAGTGCACCAGGGGCTCTGGGGTTGTATTGCGATACCGGCTCTGTGTCCTATGGTTTACCCTGTCTCGCTCCCATAAGGCTTTTCAGGAACGGGGGGGTCTGTGTTCAGCAGAGCCTCTCTTTGCATGGGCAGGAGTAAAGTGAGCACTATAGCTGGGCTTGTCTTGAATAGTGGAGTGACACCAGCAGGTCGAGGTGGAGTATGACCCTCCTAAAGCAGCCCTTCCTCTCACGTTTCAGATGGGTATCTTGCCCTTGCCTTGCTGTGGCCTGCATACCTCAGTGTATAGCCTATGTTCCAGTCTGAAACATAAGAGTGACTGAATTCTCCTTATGCCTTTTTTCAGCTTCATTGCTTCCAGAGGTTCTTGGATAGGATGAGAGAGGAAACAGCAGCTCCAAAAAGTATATGAATGTGTTTTTGCTCTATTTCTTTACAATAAAGGACACTAGCGTTGATACTTTCCCATGTAACAAAATTAGGTTATAAAAAAGTTGTGGGAACATTGTTTTGAAATGATTCTAAAATGTTAAAACATCTAGTTTTCTTGTTATTATTAAAGATTACAAAGATGTTTCTTAAAACGTTTTACTAACTTTATTTTCATCCAAAATATAACGTTATTTGAACATTTTTAATTTACTAAGAACGTTAAAATGTCCCGTTTTCTTGTAGTGATTGGAACGTTCTTTAAAGGTTACAAAAAAAGACCTTTAAGTACAAATCATATCAAAAGGACATTTTGAAAATGTGTTCTCTCAATGTAACATTCATCAAGTACAAATAACATCATAAGGACGTTCCGAGAATTTTGATCTCAGAACATTTTCGCTCAACGTTTATATGAGAACATATATCAACTATTAATAACGTTGTAAGACAGTTCCATAAACATTATTTTAAGAATGTCTTGTCCTAACATTTATGTAACTTTAAAAAAAAATGTTAATGAAAGATATGAGAACGTTCTCTGTTAGCTGGGTTGTTAGAGCTAGGAATGCAGAGACATTCAGACATCTTTATGTTTGACTTACTGTGACTGTGACTTAAGTATCTGCATACTTTACTTGGAGCCATTGTATTTAAGCATTACACAGCTTAGGGTCACTTCACTCAGAATGCACTTTTGTGTTCCACTATGCTGCTTTATAACAGTCTTTCTATGTAAACATGCACTAGACTGACATCTTTGACCGTTGTGCCACATCTTGCGCATAAGCGCCTCACTTGTTAAGACACTCTGCTAAGTTTTAAAAAGCTGTCTCTGTGAACAGCCCCTAACAAATCACACACACACACACACGCACACTCATACATGCACACTCACACTCACACGCACACGCACACACACACGCACACACATACACACGCACACTCATACACGCACACTCCTACTCTCTCTCTCTCTCTCACACACACACACACACACAC